ATACTGTATGTAGTGAATTTAGTATGTATGTCTGTATGCAAGTACTGAGTTTATGATGTGATAAAAGCTTTGCCACACATATGTTTGTGTGGTAGTGAGATGTGGTTGGTAATTGCATGAGTGTACGTTCAGTAATATTTTTTAAAAGAATTGGATTTCTGCTTGTTTGTTTCATATCTTGGAATGAGTGAGCAGGGTTCGCAAGTGCTGTAGTTTTTCATTTTTTAAGTGCTTAGAATGTATTGCAAATTATATGATTGTTAGCATTAGTTGATATTATGGATGCATGTGAATTTCTACTATTGATCTTGTGTGTTAATTATACGAGTATGATTATTGGTAGTTAAAATATTGTCTGCAGTTCGCACCCTGAAAAGTCCACCCTAATTGTCTATCTGTGTATTGGCTAGTATGCATACAAGCAGTCTCATTCTTCAGTTTGATGAGATCAGGTTGATATATGTATTTACCTTTAGTACTTCATACAAAAAAAACAGCAAAAAAATTAATTCAAGGTGATGGTCTGCACTGCATTTTGTAATATTTAATCATTGTGTATTCACTTATGTGGCTAATATTAAGTAAGTATATAGTTGTGCTTGTGTGCTGCATGGGGAAGAACTAATGGCAGGCAGGCAGCGGTGGCCGAGTGGTCTTCGCACTGTGTCTCAAACTAAATGGAGGTTCTGGGTTCAATTCCCAGAGCTGGCAGAGAGTTTTTCCTTGCGGTGTCCATCATGCCGTGAGGTTTTTCCTCTCTGACTTGTTACACAGGCCTGTGCGGTGTCCATTGCACTCCGGGCAGGTTAGTTAGTAAACTTGTGGGCCAAGTATTTCTCACGTACGTGAGGTTTGGTGCACTTGTACTAAATGTAATGGGCTTAATTGGGAATCAATAAAGACGACCTTTTTTTAATGTTGTATGTATTGTATGTATTGTACAATAATGTTTTAATGTTATATGTACAGCATCATAAGCCACTTGTGCAAGTTTTAATAATGAGACGTAGTCGACTATACTATGTAAGTACGGTCAAATGTGTGTTTCACCATCATGTTTGTATGTACACAGTGGAAATCAAGTTAACAGGGTGCGGAAGGAGCGTGTTTGAGTTTAACAGTATGAATTATTTTGTAATTTGTTAACAAATTTAAACTTAAATTATGATTGGCTCCGTGTGTTTAAATAAGCTTTATTGATTAATTGGCTAGATAATTTGTGTAAAAAATTTGTGACCAATTTTTTAAATCTTGAGCGGCGGTAATGTAAGCATATGTAAGCATTACATGTATTATATAACGAAACCCTGTCTCAATAAAGCATCAGTTCCCATTCGTAACTCAACCAATGCAGTTGTTATCGTTCTCACTGCTACCACACATCCATATGTACATCTACTACACATACACCTACAAGCCGCTATGGGTCGGTCCTAACAGGGATTTCTCCTATGCCAACAAAATGTTAAATTTGAACATTTTCTTACCGAAATTATAGATATTTCCCAATCTTACACAATGTTGAATTTTTAATTTTTCAGTTTTTTCGAGTTTTATTAAAACTCGTGAATTCCTCCTCCTATGCCATGACCACAACATATTTATATCGTCCCCGAATTAATGCATTTTCTTGTAGTCAATGATACTCGTTAAAGGGTTAACTTATTTAGCTACGAGTTAGTTTACTATTTTGTCCTAGTCATGTACAATTCCGATTTATTATTACCGGTTTTTTTACAATATGCTATTTTAAAATTAATCAGTTAACCCAAAAATCCATTACACTGGTATGATACTTGTGGTATCGTAATATTTTGTCATTCGAGTAAAGAACGAATATTAATTAAGCATACTTATCATGAATGGCCTAAATATAGAGATATCCTCGTATCTGCCACGTGTCACCTTTGTGTACAGGAATCAGTTGGTAACAGTAGTTTGCGTTATCTTCACCTCTTCATATTACCAGGGTTGGCCAAGATACTTTGACAAGATACAGGATACCAGATACAAGATAGTATTTGTATCTTGTGTAATGTGAGCAGTATCTTATCTTGTATCTTGTATCTTGTATCTAGAATTTTCGGAAAATGTATCTTGTATTTTGTATCTTGTATCTTGGCAAATTACAATGTAGATATTTGAAATACTAGACAAGACACAAGAATACTTTTCTAGTGTAAACTAGCACACCCTGGTGAAAAATCGGGGAATTTTCTTCGTATGCACAAATCCTGAGCATGTAAAACTGGGATATTTTTTATATGTGATTTAAAACTAGGAATAATAGAAAAATTTAAAAATTTGAAAGAAGTTGATAATATAAAAATTGCTGGACAATGTCATTATTACAGTTTTTCCAATCCTCGATTAAATAAATCCTCTATTAAATTCAATATACAGTATCTACCAAATGTCTTCATGGATTTTGGTTGCGCTTTAAGAAATAGCCATATCTTTCCCTCTGTTCAATTGTCTTCGGTGAAAATTGGTCAACAGGTACAAAATATAATGCAGATTAACAGGACGAAATTACAGAGTCGAAAATTTTCACAGCATCTAGCAATTTTTATTTTAATGTGTAAAAATACGAAACCTGCGCACCATAAGTGTTAATGTCCTTTACAAATAATGTATTTATTGAATAATATCAGTGGAAATTTTTATAAATTTTAGATTTTAATAACGCGTGTGGCCACCCTTAGCCTTAATAACCTCAGCAACTCTCCTTGGCATTGATTCCACCAAGTTTTCCAAAGTTTTCTTGTCCAAAAGTTCCCATTCCTCCCGAAGAACCTGTTCCAATTCTTTCTTGTTCTTGGGAGATCTTTCTTGAACTTTCCTTTTAATTACCGTCCACAAATGTTCAATTGGGTTCATATCTGGTGACTGGGCAGGCCAATCGAGCTTCTTGATCCGCTGTTTGACGAACCATTGATCCACAATTTTCGCCGTGTGCTTCGGGTCACCATCTTGTTGGAAAATAAAATCATTTTTGAGGCGTAATTTTTTCTTCGAGGCGATCAAATTAGTTTGTAGGAGGTCGAGGTAGACTTCCTTTGTCATGATTCCTTCAATAACATGAAGATTTCCGACGCCCTTATGATTAAAGCACCCCCACACCATAATGCTCCCCCCGCCATGCTTGACTGTTGGAAGTAGGTTTTTCTTTTTGAGACGATCTCCTGATTTTCTCCAAATCCTAGTGATGCCGTCCGACCCAAACAAGTTGATCTTGGTTTCATCACTCCATAAGACTGATTTCCACTGGTGAACGGTCCAATTGACATGAGCTTTAGCCCATTCCAAGCGTCGATGAATATTACGTTTTGAGAGCAATGGTTTCTTGCATGGGCGTCGGCCATTATAGCCTGCTTTTTTCAGTCTTCTTCGAATTGTTTGGTTTGAGACATCGACTTGATAGTTTATCTTCAAGTTGTCCCTCAATTTGGGCACCGACATTCGTGGGTTTCCATCCATGTGCTTCACAATCAATCGGTCTTGACGTGGCGTTGTGCATTTCCTTCGGCCGGACCGTGGTAAGTTGCAAATTACACCAGTTTTCTTCCATTTTCGAATGATGCTTTCAATTGTCGGCCTTGCTACTTTAGTTTTCTCGTGGATTTTTGTGGGTCCAATGTTTTTCATATGATATGAGATGATTTTCTTGCGAATTTCATTTGATATTTCTTTCCTCCCCATCCCACACAAAGAAAATATTAATTTGTGCAACCGGACAAGGGAAAATAATTTTAATTTGACTTACCTGTACTTGTTTTGAAGGTTGCAATAAATTTACAAGAAATTTCAAATCACTCGACAATTTGTAGCACGTTACAATTAAAAAAATGAAAACACATGAACACTTTTGGCGCGTCGATTTTCAATGAGTACTCCCCGATAATGCCCGCAATTAATAATGCGTAGCTCGTTTAACTACAGACTTTAAAAGTGATATCTGCATTATATTTTGTACCTGTTGACCAATTTTCACCGAAAATAATTGAATAGAGGGAAAGATATGGCGATTTCTTAAAGCGCAACCAAAATCCATGAAGACATTTGGTAGATACTGTAGTATATGAAGCAGCAAAATAACATTCCCTCTTCAAGTTTTTAAAATTGTTGATAAAGGGTGACATATTTTTAAGTATATAAAATTCATAATGGACCTTAACCCAGGGGACCATGACTGCCTTATGCCTACCAATTTATCTAAAGGAAAAACGAGCGACATTGTTACACCTGTGGGTAAACCCAACTCTAATTTGGATGGAGTCAAACAGCCTCAACCTCCTCCATATGCAGGTGCACGTTCCGTACCGTTTAGTCAGACAGGGTCAAATCCTGGAGAGATTCAATCCAGCATGATTCAAAAACACCGAAGGGTAATTTTAAATGTGGGTGGAGATCGACATGAAATTTTGTGGGACAATTTGGCCCGTTATCCATACACCCGTCTCGGACAATTGGGAGAGAGGTACAGGTCACTTGGGGTAAATGAGGTGTTAAAAGTTATTTAAATAAATTGAGTTTAATGCTATCAATAAAATACAATAATTTATTTTGCATGCAATCGTACATAGTTTCTGAAATTGCAGGAAAACCGTAAAGTTGGTTATAGTTCACATGATGAAATTTTGAATCTGTGTGACGACTATGATTTGAGTGCGAATGAGTATTTTTGGGACCGACAACCTCGCACATTTCCATTCATCCTAAACTTGTACAGACGGGGCAAGCTGCATCTTCCTGAGGATTGTAAGCAATGCACAACAGTTGAAAATATAGGATTGAATATACTTTGCAACAAAATCATACAGTATGCGTGCTGGAATTTGACGAGGATTTGAAATATTGGGGAATTGATGAGCTTTACCTGGATTCTTGTTGCCAAATTAAATTTCAGCAGAAAAAAGAACAGCTTATCGCAGGTACTCTCATTTACCTCATTTTTAACTATGTTTTTACAAAAGAAGAAAAACATTTGGTTTAGAAATCAAGAAGGATGAAGAGTTTCTGTCTTCTCACAAAGGTATTTTGTAGCACTTCTTAATTACTGCCTAATTCTTAATTATTACCATCACGGTTATAAATTGTTACCGCTTAATAAAGAGTTGCAACCACCTGGTAATGTTTTATTACCAAGGAGTAACAAAATTGTTACCATGCTGGTAGAGCCACATATTGTTACCAGATTTTTTTTATTTTTTAAGAGTGTACACACCACATTAAATATTTTTCAATCCAGCAAAACGGCGAAAAAACGTTGGATTTTGTTAAACAAAAACCCTGTTTTTCCATTAAATTATTAGAAAATGAAAATGCTTTGCCGTTTTGCTAGGTAGAAAACTGAAAATTAAATACTTTAAATAATTCGGATCTGCTTTATTAACACAGAAGAAGACTTTGGCAAAGGAATGATTTCAGGAATGAGAAAATATTTATGGAATTTGTTTGAAAAGTATGGTTGAAAAGTATCATCTTATAATTTATGTTGTTCGGTTATCTGGTTATCTATTCATTATTTATTATTTGTGATAATTTTCAGGTCATCCACCCTACCACAAAAGGTGCGTTATTTAAGTATATCTAAACACCCTCACAAAGGCAGAAAGTTTGCTGTCCCAATTTGATATTTATGTATATGAGCTTCCCGTCAATATATTTATTTATTAACAAATACGGCAGATAAAACATAAAAATTCGACAAAATTATCATCTTATTTTCTTATGTCACAGATTACCGGGATGCTCTCAATCACTATCATTGTCCTCTCCATTTTGACTTTGAGTCTTTCCACTGGTAAAAATTATATTTACTTAATTCTTTCTTGAATGCGATTATATTTTCTGTGAACGTATTTGTATGAACAAATCCAGTTTAGTAAATTACATGTTTTCTGCTTTAGTTCCAGAGTTCCAAGTATTCAAATGCAAACATGACAATGAATCTTTTTGTGAGGATTTATTAGCGTCGGACGACAATCCCAGTTTAGGGCAAGATTTCATCCTAACAGACAATGAGATTCTAGAAACCCTGGAAACGGTTTGTATTATCTGGTTTACTGCCGAATACCTCATCCGTCTTTTCGCGGCTCCAAGCAAGCGCAAATTTTTCTGCGGGGTTTTAAACAACATTGATCTTCTTGCCATTGCGCCATTTTATGTGTCACTTTTCCTCGTTCAACTCGATACAGCTGGTCGTTTAGTTCAAGTGTTGCGAGTAATTCGGATTCTGCGAATATTTAAACTTGCCCGCCACTCAATAGGACTGCAAAGTTTGGGATTCACGCTTCGTCACAGTTATAAGGGTTTGGGTGTTCTCCTTTTGTTTCTGAGTATTGGGGTCGTCATCTTTTCTACGTTGGCTTATTTTGCGGAGAGGGAAGATAATAGTGAAGGATTTGGAAGTATACCTAAGACCGTCTACTGGGCATTCATTACCATGTCGACAGGTTCATAATTTTTACAAAAGATATATAATTTGAAATATAATTTGAATTTGTTCGTGTAGTGGAATATGGAGACGTCACTCCAAAAATGACTTTTGGAAAAGTTATTTCAGTGATCACCGGAGTTTGTGGCATTGTGGTCATCGCATTACCTATTCCCATTGTGGTCAACAATTTTGGTCTGTTTTATGAAGAACAGAAGCGTCAAGAAAAATCGATCAAGCGACAAAAGGCTTTACAGGATTTGAAGGATAGCGAGCATTCCAATTTCAGACAGGGAAGTTATGTGAAAACTAAAATAGTTGATCCATTTGGATTGGAGGAGAAGATGGGGAAAATTGAAGAGAAGTAAAGTTCGTAAACTGTACTACCAAAATTGTTGAGCCACAATGCGTTTCTTGTTCATGGAAATCGACAAAGTGTATAAAATTATATTTGCTAATATTAATTTTCATAAAATGTGTCCAATTAATTTAAAAGTTATTGGGGGAAACGGAAATAAAACATGTTTCTTGTTTTCAAATATTACAATTGCATGTTATTATAAAAATACCAAGGATTGTTTGAAATAATTCAAAATGAGTTAGGGCACAACATATACCTCGTATCAAAATTATTATTCTTTTTAGCTCAATTTGGATCGACCATTCCTTGCTTGCAACATAAATATTTCGAATTATCCGAAAAAAAAGTCACCGTGTCTGTAAAAGTTTGATTGGTTGAATAAAAATACGGCTCAGCATTAATTAATAAATAATAGTGCATTTTTATTTGGTACAATTATTTAAAAAAATATCCATAAAAATAGATTTCAGAATCTGCAACAACTTTTCGCGTGACAAAAAATTGAAAAAACGGGCCCGACGCATGGGTATGAATGGCACGAAAAAACCGAGTTTATACTCCTCCACACCTTCAGTTAAATCTATTTACTTAAGAAATAGTAATCTGGTAGAAATTTTGTTTGGTTTACAAACCCAGCGTAAACATGACACATGCATAAATACATATGTGCATATTTATGCATACTGATATATTCACGTAAATACAAAACGTGTTTCCAGATTATAGGAACAAGGGTAAAAATTGTGTAACTTGAGAACGGCTGGTCCAATCGGCGCCAAATTTGACAATCATAATTTTGTCAATATTGCGGTGCTATATTCTAAGTTTTAGTGTATTTTTGCGACCGACAACCTCGCACATTTCCATTTATCCTAAACTTGTACAGACGGGGCAAGCTGCATCTTCCTGAGGATTGTAAGCAATGCACAACAGTTGAAAATATAGTATTGACTATACTTTTCAATACTCAACAAAATCAAACAGCATGCGTGCTGGAATTTGACGAGAATTTGCAATGTTGGGGAATTGATGAGCTTTACCTTGATTCTTGTTGCCAAATTAAATTTCAGCAGAAAAAAGAACAGCTTATTGCAGGTACTCTCAATTACTTTTTATTTTTAGCTATATTTTTACAAAAGAAGAAGAACATTTGGTTTAGAAATCAAGAAGGATGAAGAGTTTCTGTAAATTAATAGTACCAGTCCATAGGAACATTCTAATACTACAACTAACCAGATCGGAGTTATCGTTCGAAAGTTACATTTATTTAAGTACTTGGGAATTTTGCGCATGTAGTTACAGTGGAAAACGATGCACGAATGCGTTTGCTTACGGTATCAGAACTTTTCATGTTGATTTGATAGAATCCTGTTGGCGGTAGTTTTTTGTAGATATTGAATTGAGGAACATAATACTAATCAGCTATTGAATTTATCATAAATGGGTCAAAAATTTTGGTCAACTAACGATCTTCACGTCACGACTAGGTATTATTTGCAACAATCCTAACAGAAATGTTTGGGTTACTGTTGAACTCTTTCTCCACTTTCTTCGTCGCAAGGATACCCGGTCGAAAAGTCGGTTTCTTGTAATCTGCATTTCATTTTTACCTTCCTCATGTCTATCCAGTATACGATTAATTGACTTCCGGTGTACTCCTTCACGAATCAAGTGGTCACTAGTTATTTTTCTGTCTCAAAAAAACATTTTTCCGTACGAGTCGCAAACTAACTCTGCGACTGAGCATTTTTATTTCGCATTTTTGAACTGAAAGTAATAATTTAATTCTGTTTTGTGTATCAGAATTGCTATCAATTCCGTAAATTTGAGCATGAATTCAAATTTTAAATAAACCCGCCCGCCAACATTTAAAAATGAGAACGAACTTCTGACACTTTCTTTAGTGGACAGTCCTTAAATACGGGGTCATACATTCTTACATATATTTATGGTTAATTGAAGTTATTGTTTTGTCATATTTGATTTGGAATTTATGTGCTGATTTATGTTTCTAAACTATGTATAAACATATTTTTATCAGAGGAACCTAAAAGCATTCATCAGAATTTTCAAAATGTCATCTAAATATTGAAGTACTACATATATTTCATCAAATTATTTGAATTATTATATTATTATTGATTAATTATGAATCACGTATCCGGACGCCTATGACCTGTTGTTATTGTTCACATACCCATCATTGGTCTGGGCATGGGGCTGCTCGGCTTAGAATTGGACGAGCTATTATTGTTTCGACCTACTTGCTTATTTAGTGCCGTGTTGATGGGTTCGGCGAAGGGGACGTGCCCGACTCTACCTTGGCTAATGCCTTTGCCAAGATAGTTCTCAATTCGGAGGATCGAGCCGTTTTAAACTGAAAAAGTATACCAAAATTAATACGATGGTTTTTCTAGGAAGGTCGCAAATATATGTATAATAAGGTCACCTACCCCTGTAGTACTTCTCGAAATGTTGATTTGTGAACCCAATCTGCGACCCTCCGCCTTACCACAATACGCCTCCAGTTGTTCCTTCTTTAAACTGAAGAGTTCAGTCCCATTCATATTTGATAACTGTTTACTAATCGGATCTGAGAAGCCCTTAACTTTCAACCACTCTTGGACTTCTTCCACGCTGGAATGCTGGTTGATGTAGACTTCCGCGTTCTTCTGAATCTCGATCTTCCTCTTTTCTCGGAAAAGGGTGAGCACAGTCCTCAATTCTTGCTGCATCATGTCGTCATCCCGAGCTTGGTAGGGAGAGGATAGAAACCATAATTTATTAGGGGACGCATTTTCTCAAAATAATAGCAAGACTGGTACGCCCATGTGTCTTTTGGAATAATTTAATAATTTTTAACCACTGAAAATTTGACGGGGACAGTTATTGATATCGTTTCACGCGTAAAACTGAAAAAGGCTGTTTAACCGAAAAACAACAGGAAAACCAAATATTTGCAAATAATAAGGTAAATTGTTTCCGTACTTGAAACAACAACTGGGAACACCTTGGTGATTTAAATTAGTAGGAATGCCACTACAAAATATGGAAAAATTCTAAGAAAACTTAAATTTTCATCCAAATTCTGGAAATGAAACAACTTTTCACCCCACATAAGACGAACTAACTAATGCAATGTAAATTACTCCCAGTTGTCCCCAACTATCCTTCACATGATTCACTTCTAGCAGTTGGGTTCACAATAAGATATAAAAATAATATTAAATACTACGGGACCGATGAAATCATACGCAAAATCCTAACAGCCCTACATGAGAAGGAGAGGAGTACTCGAACTTGACAGTACCCGATTTTAATGCCCTTTGGATTAAAATTTGTTGTGGTGGTCGACGAGATTAGAAAAAGTGAATGAGGGTTTTACTCCATGGCCCCATTTGCGCCCGCCACACCCGATTGAATGAGCGCGCAATGGTAAACTAGCCGCACTTAAACCCTTACCAGCAATCCCGTTTTGCTCGGATTTGCATAATGTTGATCCCAGATAGTTGATTTATCACATCCATATCAAAGTTTTTTGAAATCTTGAATATTTTGTGATTTTTTTAGATTTCTAAAAAATTGAGTTTGATATGCTAAAGCAAATATCTTATATGTAAAAATTAAGGAAATCTGAGCAAAACTGGATTTTTGGTGAAAGTTTAAGCACCGTTAGTTTACTCTGGTGCGCTTATTCATGGGGGTGTGGCAGGTCTTGGAGTAAAATCCTCCTTCGCTTTGTCTAATGATTAGACTCTAATCAGATTAGACTCATTGGCTACCATCTACCATATTCAAGGGGCATCAAAATCGGGTACTGACATGTTCGAATACTCTCCTTCTAAGAAACGGAAAAGTGACTTTCTTCACGGAAGTACACTTGTCAAAAATTTCCAAATTGCTCATTTGATTTTTTCTCTGATACATAGAAGGGGAAATGTGCGTCATATTTACATATTCGATAAACACGAATTTGTCGTAATATTATGTACATTTGTGTTTAGTTGTAAAGGCCTAAGGATGACATTTATTAATTTATAACATTTCCTCATTCCTTATGTTTCTTCGTGTTGGGTGACATTGGCTGGCATTGTAAGACGTTGTCCGGATGGTGGTGGGGGTGGGGGTGGTGGCGCCTTGGTGCGATGGTAAAAATCATCACCCGAACTGATAGAAGAACTTGAGGAGGACCATTGATCTATCATACGAGTGTAGAATTAAAATGTTAATGTTAAAATGTCTCACCCATTAAAATGTCTCCCATTGTCGGGATAGTCTGGCTAAAAAATGGGAAAGAAATCATAGAAATTAATATAAATTTGTCATGATTTCTAAAAAATATTTGCTTCACTCTACCTGTGGATATTCGCGCAACGCTGCAGCAGCTGCAGCCGCAGCTGGATTTCGTATTTGCTTTTGCTGCTGCTGCAAGTATACGGTCTAGAAAAATGTTTTAAATAAGTAAAAAAACAGTTACGTATTTACAGTAGAAGACGAATAATGTGAAAGATGTTGACACATTGACGTCAATTAATGAATGTAAATGAGTGAGTAGACATATGTGAATGAATGGTGGATGAGTGCTTACTCTATTTGCGAGAGGGAGATCGACACAGAAGTACAGTGGAAATGAGGCAGTTTTCTAAGGAAAGGGCTCTCCAATTTTTCTGTCTTTGTGACATGAAACAAATTAAGTTTTAAAAGAGACACGAGAATAGATGAGTTTGAATTTTGAGTATCCGCTGTAACTTTGGCCTCATGTCACACGTGGTTGAGACGAGATTAGATGGAGTATATGTCGTCTAAAATCGTCTCATTGGCAACTAACCTCACCACAAAATAATAATAACGACTGAGAAACTATGTAAACTATAGACTCACCTCCTGTTGGGCTTGAAGACGTCTCGTCGCAGCTTCCGCAACAGCTACGCCAATGGCAGAGGATGAACTTCGGTCTGGAATCGTGGGCGACCACCCTTCCATAAAGACGGGCTGGTACGGGGCCACATAACCTTTCCACTGTTCCCTGAAATAAATTTAATTGGCAAAACCATGTGCATTTTGAAGATATATGTATATATTTTTTTTCATTTTGTAAGAGGTTTATCCTCTATACTGGCTAAGTATGGTTGTACACAAGTGGAAGTGGATTACCAACTTTCAGAATATTTAATTAAAAACAAGCGGAGGTAGAGCATTATAAGACTGCTTTGGTTGAATGCCTACTAGGCATTGGGATGTCTACGAGGGGAGAGTTGTGAATGTAACCGAAATATTTGACTCGTTTTACAAATATTGAAAGAATTCGCATTTTGGTTAGGTTAGGTTAGCTTAGGAGAAGGGTGCCGAGGCGGGGTGGCGATCGTGCTTCCCTGCTAGCCGGCCATCTGAGTGGGCTGAATGGAGGTGCTGGGTTCAATTCCCAGTGCCGGCATTGCGGTTTTTTCTCGTTTTTCCCCCTTTGCCAAGCTCAGATACTCTTCTCCCTCCCTGGGTAATGGCTCGTTAGCGGGGTCCAGTGGTTGTGCTAAGCCTTTTTTGGTGAAAAAAACTTCTTAAGGATCCGATATATAAAAAAGAAATACTTTGCCTATCCCATTTTTATTATGCTACGTACAAACACAACTCGCCTGGATGGCTTTCCAAGTCAAGCACCAAATATCAAAAACAGTTAGTTCAAGCAACGAAAAACCTTTTTGGCGACTCGTTTTTCTAAAAAAGCAGGCTTATGAGACATGGTAGTTTCTAACAAAAATAAGCTGCGAGTAAAAGTTTAACCTTTTTAAAAAGGTATGAAAAACAGATCAAATTCTGTTTCCATAACTCGGGTAATTATGTAGTTGTCTCTGATTTATGAACCTTGTGGAATCAATTTTTACATGACTACATAAATACGTATGTACCTCGTCAAGTGCCACGCATCTCCGAGTGAATGCCAAAGTTGAGTTTCCTTCGAGTTGAGGCAGTTGGTGAGTAGGTCGACGGCTTCCCTGGAAAGGAGAGGGGCCACAACCCTGGCGGCGAGACCGGGCGGGTGAGTTTCCCTAGAAGCGTTGACGATCATAGCTAGCGGCGTAAAGAGAAAGTGGACCATCTCGGGGGAGTTTGGATCCTGGATGTGGGCTTTTAAACAGGCCTGGTAAGAAACAGAAGCAGCAAGTTATCACATGTAATAAAAATCTGATCTCCTCGCGGCGTGATTCATTAATATAAAGTCGGTCACAGGATGGGAAATGAGATGAGATGGAGGAGAACAATCCATGTAGATACACAATATGGTTAGTAATGGGAGAGTGAAATAAAGGGGTATCATAGGACAGGTAGAGGGAAGAAGTCAAGTATGCATGCTTTATTTTTACCTAAAAACAAATATACAATCGAAAAAGGTGCGCATCATGAATCATGTAAGATCTATTAGGGAAGTATTATATCTTGTTATGTGCACATGCGGAGAGATGGTTGTGCATGATAAATATTGTCAGTGTTAAATATGAAGACTTGGTTAACCTAACCTAACCAAATAATGCTTTTTCAACAAAAATGCTTACCAAAAGGTTGAAGCAAAGCTTGAATTTTTGAAGAATGTGGACAAATTCGAGTTCATGTGGTCGTGTAGCTTGCATAGAGAGGAGGCCTTCTCCGTGATCCTTGTTACTTTTTTTAGACCTGGATGTATATATAATAAATGGAGGCAGTAGTTATAAAAGTTGTTCAGTATTGTGCAATGTATTAATATTGACATTTTTCATGCTCCTATCTTATGTATGTATTTGTGGAGTCGATTTCTGTTCAGTTTCTCGAAGCCTCTTCGTCTCCTCCACAGTCTCATTTGGCCAGTCAATCAGCCAACATAAAATTTTATGTTCCTCGTCAAGTAAATTCACATTTTGCGAGTCAATAAGTCCAATTTTGTAACCATTTAAAAAACCTAATATCGTGACAGTAAAATAATGACTTATTTAAAACCTAACAATCATCTCCGTCAGTTGTATCGTCGTCCCCATTATTGCCACAATTTGATCATTATCACAAAACATTCACAAAAAGTGCACACTGACCATTCATAAGCCACACCCCCCAAACAAAAGTCATCCTTTCTCTACAACTATCCACTTGTTCAAAAAAATGGATGGTCAGTCATTCTTACCCAGGCAGAAATGCAATCTAATATAATCCACTAAATAAAGAAATATGAATGTGCTTACATTCGCCTCCGCTGAAGTTCTCTGTAGGCTGTAGCCACATATTGAAGCAAAGCAATGAAGTGCTCAATGTCATCAAAACAGCTGTTCAAAATTGCAATTTGGCGTTCATACTGACCCTCAGTATCATTCGAGAAAGTGTCATTTCTCGAGTCGGAGGCTGTAATAGGAACCAAAAATGATGTCTTATAAGAAATGTATATAATATCAAACAATTTGGTTTAAACCGCGTGGAATTTGTTGACTACAGACAAAACGTAACGAGCCCTGTCGTACCTAGTGGGCTCACGTAAGGTGTAAGTAGCTCTTATCTTCAAAATGGCAAGAGATAACTAAAATCTGACAAGTGCATTGTATTCCTCGTGCGATTCTACATAAATAACATCAATCAGTTTTTAATTACTTGAAAAACATATCAGTAGGGAAAATCTTGAAATTACGCAGGCGGCGATAATTTTTCACAAAAAAATGCGAAGAAAATTAGTGAATTTGTGGTAAAAGAATCAAAGCTGGACTTTAATTTAGTCCAGGGGACTATAAAAACGATAATTGGGACTGGAATGACTAAAAACAGTCAAAGAATTTTTTTTAAATCCACCAGGACCGCACCTATGCCAAAGGCGCTGAAGCCTAGAATCCGAAAAAATCCGCATAATTTTTACGGAAAGTAGTGTTACAAATGATAGGGTCGACGCAGATTATCAAACGAGTACTCAAATTGAAGCTTGGACTTCCGGCTATAAAACGTTGCACTTACCACCTCTCGGTCACTCCCCAAAACAAAGTCAGATGAAACAAACGCAGGGATCACTTGAAACGGTACGCTCCAAAAACTGTGAAGAGTATTCTTTTGCAGATGAGGAGATTTTCATGGTGGAGGATTTTTTTAACAAACAAATTGACCTTGTTTACTCCAAATCGGCCAAAGATTACCCCCAATAGAGAAAACAGGACAAAAGGTGACATCATCCAGGTATTTTGATGGTTTTGGCAGGACAGAGCTAATTGGGGCAATTTCACCGCATTTTATCGAAAATGAGGGGAAGGTGAACAAATAAAATTTCTTAAAATACGTTTTAGAGTCCGTGGTACATCCCCTATATGAGATCCAATTCAATGGAGTCGATTAGACCCTTTCGAATAGACCTTTCAGCAGGGCTCCATACCAACTCATAATGCAAAAAACGGCGCAAGCGTTGTTTAAAAACCAAATTCCGGACTTCATCTCCACTTTTGAATGGCTATTAGTCTTGTTGGTTTTGAATCTCCGGTTTATGAAATAAGGTTAAAGTTAGAGACAAATGTGTGTTCTAAGCCCCAGAGAAGTGCGGAGCCTTGAAAAAAAACTTTGACCCCGGAATGCTACAAATTGTCCACAAATTCAGTGCGTGCTTCAGCGGAGGGCTGGAGGCCGCGTCTTCAGCGCTGCATTATTGCAGTTGGAGGAAATTTCGAAAACTAAAAATTGTTTTCTGCTCAGAAATTAACTGGCTTTCCATTAAATTAACTAGAAATGTTCAACACAAAATCCGTTGAAGCTACAGCGTCTCCTTTCACTTACACCTTACGTGGGCCACCTGGTATTCAAACGATTTTTATCCTTTTTTATTAATTTCTTTACCGAAAAAATATCCGGTTAATCTCATTAGGGTTACCGGTGAGACGCTAAAGAAAGCCGCTAAGTGAGATGAGACTTGTAAATTATGAGATGAGATTAGTTGTTGAGTGATGAGATCTATTAGTTGTTACGTGGCTCATCACGTATCGTCTCATCTCAAGTTTAATGAGACGAGATGAGATGTGGTATATCTCATCGGCAACCCTAAATCTCGTTCTCCGTTTTAAACTGGGAACGAAATGTACCCATATTTCGCCGTGCGTGTTTACGCATTTAGATTGGACCAATAAAAGTAAAAGTATTATAAGCACTATGTGCAATAATTAGCACAGGGAGGAAGTGGAGTAAACAAAATGTAACGTTCCCTGTGGTTAAGGGAAATTGTAAAATAATAAAATGAAATGCAACGAGGCGGACTCTGTGCGGACTCACGTTTGAAATGCGGCGGTGTGAGGGGGGGTGGGGGAGGACTGCTTGGACTACTCGTGTATCGCGACCGACTTGGAGGGACCTGACCGGCCATAGCCAAGTTGACATCCTCCACCAAATCTGCGGCAGATATATTGAAGCACTGCAGAGGAGATGGAAATGCCATTAGTTTTAAGAATGATTAAAACGAAAGAAAGGAAGTACTTAATTAGAAAGTTGAGAGGTGTGGTAAATTCATGGATATTTCATGATAATACAGATTACCTGAAAAAAGCGAATACGTTGTTGTATGACTCGCCTGGGTTTGGGTTGGTGAAAGCGGTGGGTTGACGAATCATGTGGAGTGGGAAACGCTCCATCTCGTCCTAAATATGGTACATTGAAAATATTTTGCTGATAGAAAATGTACCGAAAATGTTCCATATTTCTCTGGAAACAAGTATAATCTTCTTTTCTCGGAATTAAGGGTAAACAAAGAAAAAATGAAAAATCCATCGATTTGATGCAATTGATTTTCTCTCCTTTTGGGAAATAATAATTCCGTGATGTGAGTGAGAGACTTCATATATGAGGAGTTTATCTTTCTTCGCTACCACCAAAATGGCAATACTGCAGCAAACCAAATATTCCAAATATTTGTCATATAATTTAGTTCAAACTTACCATGGAAATTTGTACGGCTTTTTTGTGACAAAGAAGTATTTACTTTTGTAATGGTTTGTAATGAGTGTTAGAATGCCGAATATTTAAGTGACAGTTAAAAGTGAAGGGATGAACTTGTTGTAGGGCCGAAAGCCTACACAACGCGGATTCCATCGCCTCGACTTAATTAATTTAATTAACCAGTCTAGACAAGGTCAGAGACTGGTCTCGGCCGTGAAGGCCAACTAACTTAATGCTGGTAAGACACCCGCAGCCCACTATTTAAAGAGCGTCCGAGCTCTCGCTCCGATCACTATGTTCTTAACTCGCGACGAGTCGTCTTCCAGGCACATGTGTGTATGCACTTACTCTCTAAACTAACCAGCCAGAGATTGGCGACTACCCTTGATGACAGAGGTAGCGGCTCTCAGCCCCAAATCTGCTTATTAACCCTCTTACGTAAATAAATCTCTATTAGTTATGTACTTACTGTCTACCGCCACCACCACTTTCCTACTTCGACTCCAGTCCACCGCATAACTCTTATACAACACGAGTAGGCCTCGTATAACTAGCGTAGGATACGCAGTTAACCCTTTGAGCCCAGCTCTCTCTTCCTAGTCTCAGCCGCCTCAACACCACTCATCCATTCTTAATACATGGCATGAGATAATACATTGCCCATAACTAATAACCAGTGAGCCAAGTCCCACTTAAGTCTTGGTTATCCACTCTCAGGCAGAAACGGCGTTCCGACCGCTCGCTCTGTCTCTATATGTAAGCGGCACTTCTCCTCTCGGACACTCGACACGACGTAACGCGCTCTCGGTTACGCTCTCCTTATAACTCTGCGAGGATTACAACTTCTCAGTGCTCTCCCTTACATTGTATGGAAGAAAAAGGTGTAAAATAAGATGAGAACTTAAATTGGATCGATCCTACAAAAATGTATGTAATTCAGACTGCGAAGAATATGTAGTGAGACATAGAAGAGATACAAACGTTAAGAGAGGAATGAGTCAATGATTGATTGAATGAACGAATAGTTTTGGACAAAGAATTAATTACAATTTTAGTTAAGATCAATTTCCAATAAAGAGAGATTATTCTCTCTTTATGGAGGAATAGAATAGAACGAGGAATGGAATGTTTGCATTTGACGAAGGTGATGGATAGAGATATTAATTTATGCACGATTATCAAAACCTTGTGGTCAAAACTTACCCCATTTTGAAAATCGAGAATGACGATAAAGTTTTGTTCGAGATGGACACGAATTTTTTGACTCCAGATTCCTAATCCATTCGTCTGCATGTGCAACAACCTCCGCATTCCGTCAGACGGCGCGTTTAATTCTTCCGAGAGTTGGAAAGTGGCCAAATGTTCTACCTCGTAAACGTTCCCCATCACACGGCCATCCATTTCGCTAAAACTGGTCTCCTTGATAAATAAAAAACAGACATACAAAATTAGAAGGAAAGAAACTGTTGTGAGTCAAGGTCAATCAATGGAGCCTATTTTTAAGTGGCCAACACGCAAATACGTTTCTCACCAACGTAAATAAATACATTTTTGAAAACTCGATAAGATTGTGTGCGAAATTAGCTCTTGGACATGAATAGTTGCAGGAACGTTGTTTACAGGGTTTCGCTTTGGTTTTTACGACTGTCCAAAATAATCATAAAAAACTGGTAAAAACCGGTTTTCGAAAAAGAGAAGTGGACGTACAAAACGCCCCAAACTGTCGAAAAGGGTCCAAAATGGAAAATGGGGCAATATGTTACAAGTTCTTTAATAGCGACTTTTTTGCAAATCTATGCACATATATGCAATCTCTTCTTATTTTTAGCATTTTGATGTGTAATAAGGCATGATTTAGACAATTTCGCAATCTCTCATTAAAACACATGTGTTTCGTTTAGCCCGAGAGTTGGGCATGATTTGAGACGACACACTAGGAGCTAATATGTATTTAACCAAACTTATGAGAAGGGGGGTGGTAGGTTATGTCAAAATTTTGCCAAGCTACATCTAGGTTTTCGAATGAGTTTGGTTAATTAATGCAGATTAATTCAGGAGCTTAGCATTTATCATTACTTCGTTGATATAGAATAAGAACAAAGCTATACAAATGGGTGGAATTGTAACTACTTTAAAATTTTTTATCAAGACTTACGGTGGTATTCTGAATGAAAATTTTGAGCTTGAGTGGGAGTGGCCACTCACATTTTGTATTCTTTCAACATGTAAAGTGTGAGTGGCCACTCCCCCTCAAGCTCAAAATTTTCATTCAGAATACCACCGTTAATTCTGAATATGTATTCATACATATAAAAGATGAAAAATGAAAAATGATGCATGACTTTATTATTTACAGTAGCATGACAAAAATCTGCAATGAAAAATTGTTTAGTAAAATAGTCCTTCAAACTCTGGAATTTACAGCTCGTGATGATAACGAATCTTATCTCGACATCAATTCTGTCAGTCAATGTTAAGCAATGATTGCTCAACAAGGAATAAGTGTAGAGGAATGGTGCATTTGAAACCGTCACGAGTGAATTTTTCTCTATGAAACGTTTAAGCTTTTAAAAATGTGTGAATTCTCGACCAGTAATATGTACCTTTGATAAGATTGGGATCAAAAACTTGTCAACTTTCCGTTTGATCTCGAAACACAGTGAAGTCTGTTGCTAAAACGACTAATCGTTTTTGAAAGTAAAAATATTTAGTTCACTTTTTTCAATCAGGTAAACAAATCCACACCCACTCTCCCTCCGAGCTATCGTATCAAACACTGTGTGGCAGATATGACTGTTCAGTCTTTCTGTCCGGTGGTGAGGTGAAGCCTCGAGTGTTGATTAGCGCTGCGTTATTATGCAGTATGTGGTCAAATTTTGTAACGTTTAATCATTCCAGTTGTCATACGGATTTTGCGATATGTATTGCAAGATAAGGGAAGTTTCAGCTTATCATATAATTCTGATATCAAGGCTACTAAACTAAACCATATAACAAAGAATTACTCTGGTTGGATGTTTTGGTGAGGCTGTAGAATATACAAGTCTGGGTAGGTTTGGAATAAATGTGTGTGTACTTTTGAGAGAGTGTGATTCCTGATAAGAAAATTAATCTTATAATGGAAATAGGAGAGAATGTAATTGTGGCTACATACATGATTATGATGATGGTGTCCACATGTTGTGAGGATGACGGGTTATTTTGCATTACAAGTTCATTCCTATTTTTATGGAATGACCACACTTTTATCGTCATCATTTATGAGTGGAGTGGTGGATGATTCCATAAATATGGGTGACATTATATTTAAATGTGTATTATTGCAGATCACTTTAAAATGCTAACTAAAAAATGTAATTTAGGGTGGTGACCACGTTAAGTAAATAATTTCTGCGTAATAAATCAGATTTGTGTGTGCACATATTTGAAAGAATTGAAAATTATACAATCCCCAAATTGAGAATTGCTAGGCATGTTTTGCTAAAATATTTGCAAGATATTGTTTAAACTGTGTAAAATTTAATTTACATTTTCATTATTATATTTGTGCACTGACTAGGAACACTATATAGATATGTGTGACCTGGACCTAGATATCTCATTATATACATACATTCGATGTATTTTTAATTTCTCATTGCTTGGCAATGTAAGAAAATTTCCGTGTAAAAACCGCATTAGACCGTTCCATGACGATTTTTGTGATGAGATGTGATGATACGCCAGCGTTTTTCTGCTTGTAAGCTTCGGTGGGGCGCACGCTTCCCACCAAAGCAACAACTCGTCCCACATCGCTTCGCTGTATTTTTCTTGACAGTTCAGCAACTAAATATCTATGTATGTATTGGTGGGGTGACGATCCTGTCAATGTTAGACCGTATCGTCAGCTACCCAGGCACCAAAGGCTTATTGCAGTCTCGTATACACCACTTTACTGTGCTAAATCATGCAACTAAGTCGCTACATAACTTAAAACCCACAATTAGCAAGCAAGCAATGCGGGTGATTGTTAGTATATAAGTTCACTCTGTAATAGATTATTGTATCGATATATGGGCTGTCCAACCTTCACTGTCTCTAGAAAAAATTCAAAAAGTCATAGATAATTTTTTGATGAGTTATTATTACCATAAATTGGCAAAAACACCTTATACTAAAACAAAAAATGTTAAACTTAAAAGCTTCAAGAGTAAAATTTACATTCAAAAGATTATAACAAATAACAATATGCTTACGTGGAACAGGGGTCTAAATATGTACAAATCAAATATATGTATAAATCATACAAAAATCACAAACTAGATTTTTCTGATAGGACAATGAACACTATGCGCGCATTGACCCACCGAACTGACAAGGAATAACCCCCGACTGCTAGTTGAGCTGGAGGTCGCCAGTATGCAAATTTAATCCATTAACTAATAAACAGCGGGCACTAAAGTTTGGCACTAAGCGCGCCACCAAGGATTTCGAGTGAATAATATAAGTTCTCTATAAACTGCTATATTTCATTTAAAATGGTGTGCTGAAGTAGCTGAATTTTGTTATATGATCATTATTTGCGTTTATGGATAAGTTTATAAAAACTGGATTTGATAGCAAGGATTTGGGAAATTTTGTAATTGAATTTCACAAAAATGTGCTTGAGAGAAATTCTTCAATGGATTGGCGCTCTTTAGAAAAACACGGTATAATCAACTAACAGGGGACACTATTGACATGGGTGGAGCGTTCAGGATACCCACTATGTTTTTTAGAATCTACTAGGACCCAAGATGAAGGATCCATTCGTATTTCCGTGTAAAACTCATATTTGGCGACGTGGCGTGGCGCCAAACTTCAAAATTAGCGATTTGGACCAATTTCAAACCTCCATAACTTTTGCAGTTTCCGTGGGATTTTCAAAATTTTGGGCTTGAAATGATCACAAAGATCAAAATTTTAAGAAATGATTAAAAAATGGCATATTTTAATTTTTGAGAAATTTAAAAACAAATTTCGACAAATCCCTGTGCCTAAAAAAATCGCAAAATTTTGAAAAAAATTAATGGCATACGAAAGTTGAACTTATTTTCATGATTTTTGGAATTTTTTTAAATGCGCCCAGAATTTCAAAAGTTATGGCGGTTTTAAAAATAAAAACATACAAATTTGGCGAATTTGGCGCCACGCAACGGCGCCAAATATGCGATTTTCAGGGAAATACGAATAGATCCTTCATCTAGGGTCCTAGTAGATTCTAAAAAACATAGTGGGTACCCTGAACAGGACTATCACCTCGAAAGTCTCCCTAGTTAGATATATTTTTCAAAGCGTTTTAGACATTATGTACCTGTGTGCGAAGAATAATGCCGAAAAAATATAAACTACCCAAATGGTACCATAGTTCGCCATGCATGTTTAACGTTGTTAAATATACCCCAAAAATTCAGAGTCCGTCAAATGCGACACAACTTGGCCAAATTTCTAAGGTGTGATATTTTCGAATACCGAATGTTTGTGGCTTCAAACTAACAATGCGATGGTATGAAGTGCCCTTTGAAAAGAATGGAAGTGGAATTTTCTTCCTTCGCTTGGTAAAAATCGCCCGTTTTTCAACTTTGACCTCAAATATTTTGATAAATCCCAACCATCGCACACACTGCCGGAAGAAACGTTGGTTGTATTGACTTTGACCACTCAATTTTAAAATTTCATCCAAATTGGAGAGTTGCACTTATCACCATCACATTGTAAGCCTAACATCCCTTGGAAATTATTAGTAGTTTTGGAGAAACTCAAATCGAAAGTTTGAAAAAGTGAGGAAAAAATTTTGATGAAAAATTCCCGAATCAAAGCTGATTTTCCAGTTGATGGAGGAGAGAAACCGGAAGGTATTAGTTTTGTTTAATACACAGGTGTTTAATGAAAAACTATTAAAAACTATCAAATTAAATTCTGTAAAAGTAGGCATGAAATAAATTAAATACAAAAAATTTAAGTATTATTGTTACCTTTTGTATTAGTGCAGATTTAATTTTTGTTATATAAATTTTCTCGAAAAATAGGGGTTAACATTTATTTTATAAATACTGTCGAAACAGTATTGAAAATTTTTTGCGGAAGTGAAATTTTATTCGACCTATTTTATGTCTAGTTAAATTTAAAAAGTTTATCTTTATTGTTTATGTTTATTTAGTTTAATATAAAAAATTTAAATAGGATTAATAATTAATTTTAAGGGGGCTATCTTTTAAATTTTTAGTTTTTATAACTTACGTTTTTTAACAATTCAAAAATTTTAAACAAATTGTCATGCCTCCACAAAAGGGCCTCGGCTTCATGGGACTCCTCCCGTTGTAATAAATTTTATAGAGGGATGTATTTTACCACTTTATCTTCCGCACACAATGAGTAAGATAGTCGGAAATAATTGTGTCGTTTGGAGCACTGGGAAATTTCCTACGTGGCAATGATTGCAGGACTCCAAAAATTCTGCGTATGATAATTTGCATTTTCATGAATTCAAATCTCTCAGTCTGTATATAATTGGGGCAGCCGGTGGCAGCAGTTTTTGTAGTTGAGAGATAGGGGATTAATATTACATTTAGTCCTTCTGTTGTTGTGATTTTTAACGTTCCCAGAACAATTATCCTCATGTTTTCAAAAAACAATAAACTAGCACGCACTTTCAGCGAGGAAACGTATTACAAGTAGGTCTTGCAAATCCGCATACGTATAGTTCCATAAATCGACTCCACGACTTGTGAGTCACAAGTCGTGGAGGGTCAGTAAGGGACAAAAATCATCCCCTAAGACCCACCTTACAATTTATTGGCATTAAAAAAATACGTCTGTCACGTGCCTTTTGAGAATCACCCCTCCCCCCAGGTGATAAGAGGTGACAAATTTCAGACCCCTCCCCCGCTTCGATCGATCACGTGATTTATGGACGCTCCCCTACCACGACGTGAACTTAGGGTTGACTAACTCAACCGTCACTCAGACTGGGACGGGCCAAGTGAAAATGTCCGCATAAGGAGACAAAATACCTCCACCTCGATAACAAATTTGGTGACGATTTGTTTCCACTGTGCAAACAAATTACAACCTGTCCAGAGGCTATGCTTGTTACCCGCTGAGGTAGTAATTATAGTGACAATCTTATCACCATGTAGGTTATAATGATTATTACTGCGCGACGGTGATAAAAACGGTGATAATTTTATCACGATTTTATTTGCAGTGTATGATCTACTTATGTATTTACTTACTTCGAGTTTTGCAACGGTAGAAATATTTTGATGGACAGAAAGTAGATTTTGCACTTTAAAATTTTTTACCCAAATAACTACATAAGTGAACAAATGTCAAGCATGCAAAGTTCTATAACTGACTGATCTGTATTTTTTCCATTACATACATATGTTCAGTGTCCACGTATACCATTACGTACACTCAATTTGCTTTATACGGAGGTATATTTGTATGCAGCCATCCAATAGCAAAAGCAACGGACAAGCATATACGTACATGGAATGTTGTAAGACTACATGTGAATATATGAGTAATTCATGCTAATTAAACTTTATTATTTATAGAGAAGCCAAGCCATTATGTATATATTGTAAAGTAATACCAAATCGTGGACTTCTTTACCATGCATCATCCTTGGAACACTTTTAACAATTCTTAATAGACATATATTCCTAGATATTTAAAACAAGGATTGCACCCCAAAATGAATAAAATTTGCTTATTACGCTCACACTAATAAATATATCTCTGTGTGATCTCGCTTGCTTTCAGGAAGTTAACCCAGTAATAACTCTGTTTCTTGAAAAGTATCCAACAGT